GAAAAGAAACCCTGTGCTATAAAGCAGTCATTCTCCATTACCCTCTTTCTCCAGCCTCCAGAAACTAAGATTCTGCTTTATAACTCCATAGATCTCTCTCTTCTGGACCTTTCGCATCAGTTGGATCATACAATATTTGTCTTTTGTAATTGACATTTTTCACTGGGCCGTAATGTTTTCACAGTCCATCCATGTCATAGTATGTATCACAACATTTTTTTTTCCCTTTCTTTATTTTTTATGGCTGGATAATATTCCATTGTATGGATTGATCACATTTTAAATCTTTTTCTATTCATCATTTGGAGGACATTTGTGTTCACTTTTTGGTTATTGTGAATAATGACACTATGAACCTACAAGTTTTTGTGGAGATGTATGTTTTCAGCTCTTTTGGGCTTATATCGAGGAGGTGGGATTGCTGAGTTATGGGATAGCTGTGTTGAAGTCACTGAGGAGCTGCTGGACTGTTTCCACAGCACCTGCACTGGTATACATTCCCACCAGCGTGTATAAAGGCTCCAAGTTCTCAGAACATACTATGTTTTAAGCAGTTAGCATTGAACACTTCCAGGTTAAGGAAAGAAGACGGGTTCTCATCTCTTAAACATCTGAGCAAAGAGGAGAATGTGGCTGTCTCAGAAAGTTTAAGTGATGATTTGTGTCTTAAAGCAGCATGTTTCTGATTTGTTAATAAGTTCATTAGGAAATCTATCTATGTCACTTGTTATTAAGTGCCACTGAGTCTGTTCTGACACTTAGCAGCCCTGTATAGGGTTTCTGAGGAGGTGGCTAGTGGGTTTTAACTGTCAACCTGTGGTTAGTAATCTAGTGCATAACCTACAGCAACACACCATATATCACTTAGCAATTCTTAAAACCTTAGCAGTGAAAACTTTTGAGTCTATAAAACTTCTAAGGACCTTTCCTATCTTCAAGCTCTTTCCTAAGTACTCTAGAATCTAATTACATTAGAACAAACACATTCAGAGCATCCTTTCTCCCAGCCCCTTGAGGCTCCGTGGGATCCCTCGCTCTATCTTAAAGTCACAGCTGGGGTTGTCTAGCCAGTGTCACAATGCACTGTGGTACATGAACCTAGGTCTGTGTGGCACCTTTCAGCTTTCTTCTTCTGTAAGTCTTCACAGTTCAGGTTGTTTGTCAAGCAAAGTGTTCTTAATTTACAGAATGCTAGCAAATTGGTTGACGGTCAAGTTCATGGGAGACGGAGGCCTGGCAGACGGTGTGGGTGGCGATGCTGGCGGAATACAGACGCTTGCTCTGACAAGTGCTCTCAGCAATAGAGGGGACCGGATGGTGTCTGTCAGTATGTGCGTGAAGGTGAGGGACAGACCATCATCATCTTGTGTTTCTTCACTCTGACATCACGGGAATTGTACACATGCTGTTATTCTCCCAAGTGGTTTTCTTAGGAATGCATGGGCAGGGGAGATATGCCTTCTCAGGAACTTCAGGCCCTGGATGGCAGATAGCTTGTTGGGGGCTTCAGAGTTCTAACTTGGGTGTCTGCCCAAGACCGCTCGGTGTCTCCAGAGCCTCTTTCCAGGGTTGCTGCTGGAGGGAACTTGCTACTCACCCCACACCCTCCATTGGGCCTACTGAGGCACTGGTGTCTGAAGCAGCCACTGGCCAGGGTCAGGATTTCTGCCCTACATGTGACTACTCTCTGTGGCTTGAGTCTCCCACTGGTAGTGGTGCCCATGGCATCTGCCACCTCACTTATCTTCACCCACCTAGGAGGCTTCGTCTGCTTCCCAGGCCAGTGACTGCTAGCTTGTCTCTCCCTTCATGCCATAGTGGGTTACCCAACTCTGTGTCTATTTAAAATTAAACTTTAAGATGAAATGAATGTTGTCAAAACTTGTCTCTGGGGGAGGTGGCACTATTTAAACATTGTGTGTGGATTTGGGGATCAGCCTCCTTTGTGTCGTTGAAGGCTGTCCGGGACACTGTTACAGTGTCCTGGCTATGCTCATCTTGGAGGATGTCATCTGTGATTTGTCCTGATGGTGTCGGTGATGTTTCAGGTGGCTCGTGGTACCCTCAGTGACCATGCCCTTGATGCTGTGGAGATGCAGAAGGACCTCCTTGGTTCCAGTGGGTTGCTGCTACTGCTGCCCCCTCGAGTGTGGAGTGAGGACGGGGCCAAGGAAAACGTGTACTGGCTCTCGACCCTGCTGCAGCTTAAGCAACTCTTGCAGGCCAAGCCCTTCCAGCCTGCGGTCCCACTGGCTGTTCTTGCGCCTAGCCTGGGCGGGGACACTGTTGAGAAAGACGTGGAGGATGGTGTGTGCACAAAGCCTCATGAGTTGGTGGTGGTTAGTGAGTGGGTGGGGGCCGGCTCCAATGAGGCACCCATTATCCCTGAAGAGTCACTGCCATTTGAGCTGGGTGAGGGTTGGTGAGTGAATGTGGTGATAACACTGTGTTTTTGGCGTGTGTGTGTGTGTGTGTGTGTGTGTGCACGCGCGCGCGCAGATTGCCGTTTCACAGATGTGAAACTCCGTTGTTTTCCCAAAGGCCTGATGCTGCAGGATTTGATGTCAGCAAAGCTGATCTCAGACTACACTGTTATTGAGATTCCAGATTCCATCAGTGACTTAAGAGGCACAGCTAAGGTACACTCTCCATGCCCTTCCACTATTATAGGGATGGCAGATATTCTGAGTTTTTCCCTTTATTCTATCATGAGTATAGGCTATCTTATTCTGTGCGATTTTAACTTCATGCATTAGACCAGAGGTGGGGAACATCCGGCCTGTGGGCCATATAATACCGGCAAAATCATTTGGTTTGGCCCTGCTAAGGCTACCGCAGTTCCAGCCATCACGTGGTGGTGGTGGTGTGCTGTGGAGTCGGTTCTGAATCACAGTGACCCTGCATAAGGTTTCTGAGGCTGTAAATCTTTATGGGAACAGAAAGCTTCATCTTTCTCCCATGGAACAACTGGTAGTTTTGAACTGCTGATCTTGAGGTTAGCAGCCTGACTTGTAACCACTATGCTACCAGAGCTCCTTAGGGTAAGTTAGTTTAGCATTTGACCAAATGCAGCAGCCTAATTTTTAAGTTGATAATTTTGTATGGCCCGCAAATGATGTTACCAGTTTTGGCCGAAAAGAGGTTCCCCACCCCTGTACTATCCAGATAATGTTCTAAAAACATAAGCACTAATCAGAAAAGTTGGTCCATAATCCTGCCACCTGCAGCAAATTAAATTGCGTGTATATCTGTAATGTTTTTATAGTTTTTATGAATTTAAATGTGACTGATCATATCTCATTTCTGAAGGTCACATGTATAAACTGTCTTTCTAGAGTGGTTATTCTTTGGATATATATAGATATATCAGAAGTTTCTTTTAAGAAAGTTGTCTATATGATCATTACATTAGGCAGGCATGTCTGGAACTTGAGATTTAAAGTAACCACAGGGGAAGAGGCCACTCTGGGGTAGGAGTGGCAGATGGGGAAAGTGACTCTGGGAGTAGCAGGTGGAGACTGGGCTCCTGCTATGTCTACGGAGAGGAGAGGAGCGGAGAGCTGTAGGTGCTGAGGAGCTCATGAGCAGTATGGAGTGGGCTCTGGGAGGGCACTTGCTTCCTTGGGAAGCTGCTCTGCAAGCTGACCTGCTGGAAGGCCTGCCCACCTGTCCCTCTACTCAGGTTTCGCAGGCGGTGCAGTGGCTGGTTTCTCGCTGCCCCAGTGCCCTGGACCTCTGTTGCCAGACGCTCACCCAGTACATAGAGGATGGGATTGCCCAGGAGTTCAGTGGTCGGTTCTTCCATGACCGGCGAGAGCGGAGGCTGGCCGGCCTGCCCTCGCAGGAGCCTGGAGCCATCATTGAGCTCTTCAATAGTGTGCTGTACTTCCTTGCCACTGTGGCCTCCTTCGAGCAGCTCTGTGACCTGTCCTGGCCCATCACTGAGTTTGCTGAGGTTGGGGGCAGCCGGCTGTTGCCTCACCTACACTGGAACAGCCCGGAGCACCTGGCCTGGCTAAAGCAGGCAGTGCTTGCCTTTCAGATCCCTCAGCTGGACCTCCCGCCATCTGGAGGTACGTGCCTCTGCCAAAGGGATCCCTAGAAGGGTTGGGGTGGGATTGGGGGTGCAGCAGAGGACCTGCAATAATGGTGTTTGTGGCTGGTGGCTGTGTGCCGTGGAGTCGGTTCCAACTCATAGCGACCCTCCACAGGGTTTCCGAGGCTGTAAATCTTTACGGGAGCAGAACACCTCATCTTTCTCCCGCGGAACAGCTGGTAGTTTCGAACTGCTGACCTTGTGGTTCGCAGCTCGTTTAGTAACCACTACGCTACCAGAGCTCCTAATAATGGTGTTAAGGCATCTCAATCTCTGGTGTGTGGCTTGTTCATCCTCTGCTGGGATCTGGGGGCGGGGGGGTGGGGGGGTGCCTGCTAGTCTTACCTCTCCCTTCATGTCTGCTGTGCCCATCCCATTGTATTTGTCTCCTCTGCCATGCCCTCTGTCCTCAGCATATCTACTGTTTGCTTGGGCAGTTAGGATGAGCCTGGCTGGAGAGTAGGCATTGGTGGCCCCTTGCCACTGATGTGCTCAATTCTGTAGGGGAGATGGAATGCCTCAGGAGGAGCACCCCCTTTGGGGTGTCTGAAACTACATCTGGTTACTGACTAGATATGGGGGCAAGGGAGACAGGAGCTTGGCTGCTGGCTGTGACCTGATACTTGGTGCTCAGGTCAGGCTATGCAGCTTTGCCAAGATGTGGTTTCTGTGATAAATTTGTACCCTGCAGTCATCTGGCCTGGTGTGAGCCTCGAGTGGTGTGGATCCCACTGTTTTCTTTGCTAACGGGTGCATTGCAGATTGTTGAAGGGTGTGCCTCCCAGTGCTTTGTAAGGCTTACTCACATGACTGGGACACTCCTGTTAGCCATATGCGAGGTGCTCCTGTAGTATCTGAGTTCTGGTGTGGCACTGCAGGATAATGCACTGGACTGCAAGGTTGGTTTGAACTGCAAGGTTGGCAGTTCAAACTCATCAGCTGCTCCTTGGAAACCCTATACAGGGTCGCTACGAGTCAGAACCAACTGGTTGGCACTTGAAACAACAACAGTTCTTAGTATCAGAACAGGGAAAGGTCTTCCCATGTGGCTCCTTTGTAAGGGAGCAGTGAGGCACATTCTGGGCAGATGACCCCTGTGACTGATGTGCTTTTTCCCTGCAGCACCTTGGGCTCCCGTCTGCACCATGATCCTCCAGTATGCATCACAGATCTCCAGCTCTTGCCAGACACAGCCTGTCCTCCAGTCTCAGGTGGAGAGCCTGCTTGGCAGGACCTACAACAGGTGGAGGAGCCAGAACTCCACGCTTGCTGGGGTATCGGGACCTTCAGTTGCTGACATCCCATGGGATGACTTCCTTGCCTTGTGCATCAATCATAAGCTACGGGACTGGGCACCCCCCCGGCTCCCTGTCTCCTCAGGTGGGCAGCTTGTGCGAGATTGCTATCCTTGTCATTGTGTGTGCTGCCCCCTGAGATCCCCTGTTTATCTTTTTAATGATGCCCTGCTTGCTTTACCCAGTGGGTAGACACTGAGAGGGGTGATAGGATCTGGACTCAGACAAGACTGTCTACCACAC